TTTTGATATTAATATGTTTGTTTCAGAAAATCTTCGGTTTACGGTTTATGGAGGTTTAATAGTAATTTCGGTTTATCGGGGGGAATTTTAATAGGCAAAAATGCGGATTTCAAAAAAAGTTCGGTCAAACGGGGTTTTCGGTTTATCGGGGTTGACCTTGTACTCATAAGTTGGTGATAATATATGCTGATCAGTGGCTCAATCGATGACGTATTAGTACATTAGGAACTTTCTAGACCTTTTCACAATGTAACTATTCCCCTATATGCAGAAGGTGACCAATGATAATTAATGCGCAGAAATTCACGCACGTTTAGTTCGAATATCGTGACTCAAAAAAGGTTTGCTATAAAAAACGACCGAAATTGAGCTATTTTACGAAAAAGCTTCGCGAACTGCTTTTACAAACCAACAGACTTCATCATTTTAAAATGTTTGCCATTCTCGGATTATTGATCGGAATTATCATTGGATATTACCTTTATTATAAAATCCACAACGATCAGCTGCTTATTATAAATCAGAAAATTGATAAAATAATCAATTTAATCGAGCCTACGAAAAGGCGCAATAACAAATCAAGTAAACAATTCGGCGAACGAAGTTACTTACCAGACGTCGAAAGATTGTGGAAGAACTTTAAAACCCTGTTTGACAAATCAAATGGCCACTGAAATCCGCGAATTACACGAAGGAAAAGGCGTTGTTGTTTGACGTTTTTAATTGCAATTGTGACAAAAAAGCAAAATGCGAATACGAATACACTTAAACAGTCTTTTATCAAGAGGCTTTTGTCATTTCGCAAACCCTTATAAGAACTTGTTTACTCATAAACGGATTGATGAAGTTTTCCGGAATTTGTTTTTTCACTGACTCGACGTTTACTATAAGAAACGATTTCGTTGATAGGTCGCTTGATCAGTAGAGAAGGTTTTTACGTAAATTGTTTTTCTTTATCTTTCTTCAAGTTTTCGTTTCTTTCTTGGCTCATTATTAGTTGGGGTTAAGGTTCGTTTAATACTTATTACTTTTCGTTCTTCTCGATAAATTTCATAAGTAATTTTTTCTTGATCTAGATATTCCTGGAGCGTTTGGGTATCATTGATTTTAAAAATATATGGAGCAATTTTTTCACCTTGAGCTTTCTTTAGAATACTTCTAAGGGTGCTGTAATTTTTGGGTTCCATAGTGGATTTAATGTAAATTAGTTTCATATTAATATTTTTATATATAGAGGTAATCCTATATTAATCATATTATGGTTTATATTCATCACCTTCTGGTATGATAAAATGAGCATTAAAATTAATAAGTCCATAAGTTATGAATGAGCACTGTTATTACATTTCAAAACGTCATCAGTCACACTGGTCAATTTTCAGCCACATCATAATCAGCTTCTCATTTATAAAATTAAAAATGTTCACTTTGTCTGGTTTTGTTGCAGTCTGCCCCAAATTATGTAATAGTAAGTACTTACTGACTTAACAAGTATCACAAATAATAATAATAATAAATAAAGGAAACTTACTATTACTCATTGTTATTGTGTGGCTGCTTTTTGCATTCTTATTCTGTCAACAAAGTATGCACATTCAGTCTCTTAGCACAAACAAGCCATGATACATGACTAAGAATCTCCTTTGCCGATTTTAATTATCATCACTATCTACCATTGCATCAAACATGAACAACTTGCAACCCTTAAATTATTAATAAATTTCATGTAATCATTAATCATGACAAACCTTTGCAGGTGATAAGTCAATATCTGCTTTCACAGTTTCTGGTATCCATTGTCTCTTACAAAACACATTGTTGGTTGCTGTTCAGGACTTGATTGAAAAAATTTATTAATTTCATCATTCAGATCCTAAAAAACATCAGTGTGAGACTAGTATTATATATTAATATGGCATCAAAAATAGCATTGATGTAGCCTGAAATTACATAATTATTAGCATATACTGCAGTCTTTCAATTGCCTCTACCATTGTCTAATGCACTTTGAAAGTATTCTTGAATCTACCTAGTCCTTCTTTCCTTTGCTAAAATGAGACATAGTTAGTAACAATTTATATTTGGCTTTGGATAATATGACTTCGGGCATACTTTTGCGTCCTTTTCTATTCCTTCAACCTCCAATAGTTTTCAACGATTCTATATAGTAATAGACACGACAAACGATAGAATTAATTTGTTACGGAGACTGCAAACATACTTGTACTGTACCGTGCAACTTTAGAACAAACGCTCTCAATGGTCGTATTACAAGTTTTTGAGTGTATTACTGAAGACTTGTGCTGTTACGATCGGATCATCCATGTATACAAATCTTGTAAACCTTTCAATATCATTCCATCGAGACAAGTATGTTACGGAGAAAAACTTATTAATCCCTGTGTGTGATTGGCAAAGAGTCGCATCGATTCGAAACTTGTCAAATTTGCTCATTTGCGCACATTAAAAATAAACCGTGTTAAAATACTAGTAATTCACAGAAATTTCACTACTATTACAGTTATAGTCCTCATCTGGGTACAAGTTGTTCAGCCACATTACGTATGTTGGAACACGATGTTCGCAGGCAATCCCTTACATTACAACTTGTCACTTTCTTGTGTTGAATTATTAAGTGCCAGTTGGGGATCTCAAACAACACGGGCAACACTCTCCTAAACGAAAATTCTTTCCGCCGTCTCTTCTCTTACACATACGGTGAATACGGAAGATTTGCATGTAAACCCTAGGGTCGTTATTAGAGTCCTGGTCGTTATGGCCAGCATCCATTCTGTCCGACCAAGCGCCGCTGAACTTACACTTGGTGATTCCCATGCAACAAAAAGAGACACGTGAATACGTAAACGGATATTACTTGCTAATGAAATGAAAAATAGGTGTGAAAATCGGTTTCAACGGACGCGTTTGGCTTTCAGCATCGAAATTTTCTATGATGTGTGCAGCACATAATCTGATTGGATAAACATGTCACACACATATTCATTGAGCGGCTCTAGATAAATTTTCAATACTATTTCTGTGAGTACTTTCTTAATTTTTGGGAGAGTGATCTGGGGTCAAGAGAATAACAAGGGTTTATATCAAATAAACTAAATCTCTTCGTCTGCTGGTTACAATGAATAAATTTTTGTAGTATTACTTTCCTTCCTAATGATATGCTTAAATAGTCATGCACATCAGTAATTGATACCATCATAGATACACGTGCAAATTTATAAAAGAACGCGAATTCATTAATGATGTAAATACGTAGCCATTAGAATGGATAAAACAAGCTCACCACATCTTTTCCATTAATGAAATTAAATTTTATTCTTGACAATATGTGTTCGATGACACCATCTTCTAACATGTCCAGGTTTACCACAGTTATAGCATCGGACATTTCCTGAATGATTTCTTCCTCCGAATTGGTTATTGTTGTTGTAATTATTATTCGGCCGATATCCTCGATTAAAGTTATTGTTATTGTTTCACGTACGTTTAGGGATTCCTTGATTACTGATAGGCATTCTACCCGCGGTGTAAACAGCAAGTGGGTTTGAGGACGGATTTTCAGCGACTTTCTTACTCAATTCTTCCAATTTTTCGACGATTAGTAACATATTTTTGTTAGCGTCTTTGTTACTATCTCCATCATCGAAGGATTGTGCCAGCTGAGCATTTTCGGCTCGTTGAATGGCTGCGTCCAATGTGTCGGGAGCGCCTTGTTGATACACAATCGTTTTCATGGACTTGGGTAAGCCTTGAATAAACTTATCAATTTGACCGGCGTCATTTAATGTAATTCCAACAGTGCGCGTAACTTATTTACATAATTCACTACTGTTTGGCCTTTCTTTAGCTCCAATTTTTGATATTCCGTGTAAAGACTTGTCCGGAGTTGGGGAGTCATATATTTCTGAACGAATTGATGATAGAACGATTCTGGTACATCGTTATCGAGCCTCCATCTGCCATTGGCGTTATGCGCGTTTTTCCAAGTGTTCGCCCAATGGGCTACTTTGTCTCAGGAACAAAGGAACATAACAACTTAATGCGACGGGCAAAATTGTTTACCATATTCGCATCGAATCTACGACTCAACTCGTACGCGGATTAGTCATTCCTTCCGTGAACTTAACATCATAGATCATGACATTTTGTTCTTGGGGCGGAATATTGACAGCGGGAGCTGGAATTTGTATATTGTTAAGGCCGTTTGTTAGGGCTTGGATAAGATTTTGAAGTTGTGCTGCAATACGATTATTGTTGTAAGGCGGTATTTTTAAACCTGTTGGTGGTATTGGATTTGGATTTGAGATTGAGCCTTTACTCGAACTTTGGTGAGGACTTGAGGATGGGGGAGTGGTTGTATTTATCCGTTTGTTGTCAATAACATGCACCTTGTTTTATTTACAAATTTTCGAAAGGCGGTTTTTTCGTTGCACCCAACAATAGGTATTTCAGTCAGTCGAATGTGGGAGAGCACCAGTAACTGACAGCACTTGATAATGTGTCAGCTGCAATCGAAATAATATTAGTTCATTGATGACGGCTTGGAATTGAATCGAATTTTATGTCTATTCGCAACTTATAAATCGTCACCCTTCGGTTTGGAGGTGATACTAAAATTTTGGTTCAAAGCAAAAGCTACGGCACCTGGTATTCCCACGTTGTCCCCAACCGTAGTACTGACCAGGCCACCAGTGGCTTAACTGCGGAGATCGGACGGGTTCCGGTGCTTTTCACTGTGTATGGCCGTAGCTGACAATCTTTGTTATAAGGTTAAATTTGAACCAGAAATAACTGTTTGGAATGTACATTAACATTTGACAAATTAAATGATCATTGTACATTTTACTATTAGAACACTATTAATTTTGATATATTATTATTGTTACTTTATTATTGTACTTTAAAGAATTCTATCAGAAAGTATCTTTATTTTAATCCTAATGTTTTCGTCATGGTATTGTACTATTATTATAAGTAATTAAATGTTACATAAAGTTCTAAATCCGCTCTCCTTAGCGTTTCTTGTCCCAATCCAACATCCCCACAACACATCCTTACGCATCCTGATTAACTCCCAAAGCATTACCATCTTCCCCATCCCCACCCTCTAACAGGTCATTCTTTAGTAAATGTTCGATATATGCTAAATCGGGTTTAGCCAGAGTGTAGGTTGATTGATAGACATAGAGAGATATATGTCGAACAAAAAAAGATAGTTGTCGTATGCTTGTAATAGATTTCGCGATGAGCATTGGACGCTTGAATTCACCTTTGGACGGCGAAATTGCTGACGTATTTGGATGTATGGGAACATGATAATTCTGTAAAACGAGAATTATATAACAGGTAAGCAACAAGGCAAGAGAATGGTCAATTGACTCTGTTGTTACATAGGAGATATCTTACATCATGTTGTCCATCTTCGAATTTTTCACCCAATCTATCCATCAATGCATACGGTGACCATTCCAATGAATGGTTTATAACATCGATAGTGTCTCTGATGAATATCCATTCATATCTGTATATGCAAGAAACGAATTGACGTTGAATTATCCATCATCTGTGCAAGCGAACCTCAGTTAACAGAATCTTATGCTTACACTTGAAAATCATCGTTTCGAAGAACGAACAATAAATCCAAAAATTTACATGCAGCCAAGAAAATGTTTGCCGTTTCTGGCCGATCGTCAATCTTTTGCAAGAATGATCCAAATAGGCGCACCTATTTATCAAATGATTAATAACATGTAGAATTGACGGCGCGAAACTGATATTTGATACTTACTAATTCCGTCAATATAATGGGCCAGAATGTTGACAATGGCTTCTTTGACAGTCTCAAAAGTAATATTCGTAGACACAGATATATCTACAAGATTTATAGTTAGAAACGAAAGAAACAGTGTACAAAGTCACAGGAAACTAACCTCCACGTGAACCAATTCTGTTTGTTCTAATTTTAGCAATTCGACTAATTTTTCTTGCACGCTAGGCAACTGTAGACTATATTGGTCTACCCTGCCAGAGTAAATTATATACGAGAGCCTCCGAAGGTTTAATGCTCGATTTAGTGTTTCTTGATCTTTACTCATAAAGAGGCCATTAGCTGGAGACGTTGAAATACGACCTATTGAAACGGTTAACAACAACGGGAGAATAGAATGGAACCATATTGAGTTGATATTCATCAATTGTCATGCGAGCCTAGCGCGTCAATGAATTAAAAATTACCCAATATTTCAGCAAAGCGCTCTTTTTCAGACAACATAATAGTCTGTATGATTGTTTGCCACTTGTTGGATGCATTTTGTCCCATGTTGAAAAAACGATTGTCCATAAATAATTCCCATACTTCTTTCCGCCATTTGCTAGCAAAGGGAATCTTTGATATTTCCACAAGCTGATCAAGGATCACGCGATTACTACTTGTGCTAGAGACGATATCAACTTGATCAGTTCATTATTTCACTTGGATAACTGTAACACGTAAAAAAAATTCCTACCTTCCACGACTTTTTAGGGCAGGAGTTATCACATAATACATCATATTATATATCATTTGATTTATTCCTGTCTGATCTTGTATTAAACGTCTGATATTGGGAATGATGACACTTGCCAAGTGTTGATTAACCTGTGCGAGTGGACAATAAAAGTCATCTCATTGAGTTAAAAGTCGTAAAGACAACACAAATGATAATAACAAGTGTAGGCTTATGCAGTGACAAAAACCTGATCGATTAGAATCTCTTCTTTAGTTCTGGAAGACAATTTCTTTTCATCCAACATTGGAGTGCTAGAGCGATTGGGATCAGAATCTTTACTCTCCAAGCCTAACAATGCAAATGCTTGCATTAATATCTGGTTCATTCTGGCGTCGTTATTTCAAACGAAACAGTCAATTACCATCCAGAATCTCGCTCGATTCCTCGTCATCGCGAGTCGATCGCCTGATCCAAAGGCCTTGATCAAACGATTTCCCGGCAATAAATATGCAATTCTCCAAAACTCGTTGATAATTGTCCTATCATGGGGGAAGAGAAAAGCCTTTGTAGTCCTACAGTATCTCACTTGACATTCCCTACAACGTTCTCACCAACCCAGCACACAAACAAACCTGCATATCTTTCCTCATCTTTCTGTCTTCAAAGCATGAAGTAGTTGTCAACTTGTCAACGACAGAATGAATGAACCTCATAAGCGATGGGAAAAGATATTTATATCCATTTGCTTGTGAAATTATGTCTTTCGAATATGCCAAGCAGTACGGCCAAACTTCTACCAAAGCATCATACTGATCCAGATTTTCGCAGTATGTTTCCAAGAACCTTAGTATAAGCACGTCCGAACTGTCAAAAATAAGCCGTACGCGGCCAGGATATATTAAAAAAAGAAATCATAAAGGTTTAATAAGAGGAAAGAGTCGCAGCAGAGATACAGTCTAAATATTTAAAATATCATACAGTCTACTAGACTTGGCAAAGGGCCGTTTCGTTCTTGGTATCGCAAGTCCAGATGATCTCGTTCGTGCGCTTTCTAGTAAAGTAATGATAACTTTTTGTGTAGTGCAGCTGGGAATGTGCTTTAAAACTTCAATGACCGCAATCGTCGCTTCGCTACTATGCTGATCCTAACCAATAAAATGTCCCGGTTATTACGTTTACAGGTCCTTTCTAATTGCTGCCGATTATGTCAACAAACTCGCCAACAACATACCTCAGATCCATCTATTGCACTCGAATTAATAAACCACAACTCGACAAACGCCTCGAGTAATTCGGGTTTTTGGTTCTTGTACAGTTTTTCAAGCATTTTACGGATGCTCGCTTTCACTTTATCACACATGTGCAAAAATGACAAATGGAACGGATCTACTGCAATCTTGGACGGCCGAGGAAAAGAATGTGCTTTGGATAACGACCATATATCGAGAATAATGGACGCGATGCTGGGAAAGACGTAACAGAGAACGTAGTCACGCGGCTAGAAAAGTCATGATAGTCGACAACATTGTCGATTAGTCGAATCGGGGCGCGATCTCAACATGAAATATTGATGATGCAACTAGTATACCTTCTGCTCGGATGAAACAACCTCCGTTGGCGTATCAAAGCCAAATACTCCGGTAACTATGTTACTCAAGCCTCCACCGCTTGGCGTAATCGGCGTGCTGATGCCATCGTTTTCATCCCATGTGATATTGTCAGTCAAGCAAAACATTACTATCCTCTCCAGACCATTCAATAAGCATACGCAATCCCAATCACTTGTCTGGGACAAGGTTACATGATTGGATGTCAATTGTCCGGATGCATCTTTGGTATTGCCGTCAGAATCTTTTTTCGATAATGATGCAAAAGCGCTTGCATATGTTACGTTCATGTCTGTATGCCATTTGGTCAATTGTTCGCATATACACTGCAGGACAGGCACTAGTACCGTGTTGAACGACCCTTTGAAACAGGGAAGAGATGTAAGAATGAAATCCGTCCACTGTTGAAGCAAGGGTCTATTCGATGGCCGTGATAACGCTAATAATATTACTTTCACGAATAGCGGCGATGACACTGTCATTTTCTCCTTGCTGTCTTCGGAAGCAGATGCAAAAGTCGAAGGACTGTCCAAGAACTGAGATGATTCTGATAGAGTACGCTTTGGCGTCCCATGCGCGCCATTGGGCGTCTTTGTCGATGCCGCCGACGCGGTCATGACTGTCGAGAGCAGTACGTGCAATAGTCGCGTTTGCAGATCAAGTCTGTTCATCTCAATACAGAATAACATCTTCTTTAACACTTTATCATGTATAAAGTATAACATATCGGAATCGATCGGTTTGGTTAGCAGTAAATTCAAAAAATCTGTCGCATGCATATGAATACATTCGTTCCACCTCTTTTGTTCTTCATCGCTTTGCTCGTCAAATTCCGCTTCAATGAATCTTATGGCTATCTTGATTAATACGTTCGTGTAACTAGTTCCAGTGATAAAAAATTCTCGACTCCATTTTGACACTGTATCTGATTCTCGGCCTATGGCGACAGAGTTTCGGAGTGACTTTAAAAATCCACTTCCACCCACTTTGCATATCGCAATCAATGTCTCAAAGGCATAGTTTACTTGCGCCTGACTAAATGGTCGTTGGTAAAATATAATCGCGCTCTCTCCATCAGCTTGAGATGGGATATAGTGTTGGATCTCGGAATCGCACAAAATATTTAGTATCGGGCTTATTAGTTTAATGTACGACATATGATTACTCCTCATCCAACTCTCTCCCGCTCTGCGATTGACCGGAGTCTTGTCTTGCAGTGTGTCCAACATTAAGAAGGTTGGTTGCTGAAATTCAGTGCTCAGATCCAAGTGATTTTCAGACAGTTTCCAGAACACGCCAAAACGTTCGTACGATTGCGTTCTCTGTCGAGCATCTTTATCAACGAGATATTCCGACATGATGGATTCAACGTATCTTGTCTGAGATGTTCTATGCAGCAACCAGATCAGCTCTACTGATCTACAGTGGTACACCAAGTTATCTGCAGACAAGAATGACCATAGCTTTGAAACTATCAGACGCGTTTGATGTTTGGGCTCGAGAATTTCTGGCGATAACAGCGTTTTATTAGTAATCAGATCGATTATTGTGGATAGCGATGAATCAATGATATCAAAGTTGTCAACTTTGTAGCAGCATTTAAGCAGTTCGGATATCCATGCTGAAGATATCGAGTATGAATCTTTGATCATGTGTATTTGGTTGCTTGTCTGTTCATGAGTGGTTGACTGTTGCTTGTGGAGATTGATTGCAAAATGTTCTGATATTTCTCTGATTAGAGTACATCCCTGCTCTAGTATTGTTGAAACTGCTTCCGGATCTATTGTTTCCTCTTTGCATATAATACATCTGGTAATTACTCTCTCTAAAAATCCCTGTACTGCTTTTAGCAGCTCACCAATAAATTCTATTCCATTAATACTGGCAAATTGAGTTCCATTGGCTGATTCTGCTTTATACATGTAAAAATCGTTTACATATTTCACTGCGTCTGTCCCGTATACAAAATGTGCTATCTGAGCGTCTCCCTGATCTGTACTATTTGGCGGTCGTGGTGTACTACTTCTAAAGGTTCCATTGGGCTCTTGAACGTGTCTCGATTGCTGAAATACATAGCGCGGAATACGCTTGAGCAGATCAAGGGCAAGCCGGAGTGCTGATTCTATTTGCGAGATATAAGAAGTAAAGTCCGTACTATTTGCTAACGACTAGAGCGAAAAGTAAAAGTCAATCGCACTGAAGAATACAATATTATGTACACCACCCCAGTCGTACCATACCTCCGCCTTGCAAAGTAGAGCCGTCAGAAACATGGGTAGATGTATTTGCTGTATTTCTTCTTCGTGTAATGTTAGCGATGTCAAAATAAAATCAACCAAATCCAAGGCCTGTGAAATAAAATATTTAAAAATCGCACATTTTCCAATCAGTAATTTCGGTTTCGTATGCAAACCTCAGTGTCTTTGCCATCATCGCTCGGGAAATGATCCATGACCAATGCATATAGCTTCATCCATATCAAATAAGGGGGGACCATCTCTAAGAACATGTTGGCTGTTTGTAAAAGCTTGAAAATGATAAACATCCAAGTGTTAGAGATTACTTTACGTCATGTTAAGGGGTAATTCAATAAAATCAGACTTACGTCCGTTCCAAATTCTGAATTCTGTACATGTGACCTAAGCGATACCAGCACGTCAATTAAAAGTTCTTGTACGATGGGATACCCGATTTCCCATTTATCCATTAGAGATATAAGCATCTTGTATGGTTGTTGAGCCGTAGCTAGACTTTTTGTTTTTGAAAAGAAACAAGACTGGGTACAGGATCCGAAAAAGAAACGGCATGTTAATCATCAAATATATTTTGGTCTTGCTGCGATTTCAGAGCCAGCTATACCTTCAATGCCGCAACCGCTGCAGCCTTTCCATACTCTTCAAAATACTGCACTCTATTTTCATTATCCTCAGGACCCAATAACCAATTGTATAGTCTCTTGTTGAGTGACATTTCTTTCCGCAAGACAACTGCTATAGCTGATTTCATGAGCAATATGAGATCATCTTGGTCCAAAACTCTTATAAACAATAATATGTTAGAGAATACAGCTAAAGACAGAAAAAGAAAAAGAAAAAGAAAAACAGGGGATGATAAAATTAAACTTGGGGAGGAGAAAAAAAAATTCTAGTTATGGTTAAATTGTATGAATCATCTCAAAATACTCACTCTCCAGCGTTCTTATTCTTCAATGGAAAGAATTCGACTAGTAGCTGTAGTAACTCTCTTTTGATTAAATCTTGTTCATCACCAAGAGTTGCAGCAAATGCTCTGACCATGATTCCAGCATCGTCGCCCAACATCATTGCCACATCTCACATAAAAAGAACAATACAATAAGACAGGTAATCCAACAACAGTGACACGTCGTATAAAGATAACGTCGTCGCCAACTTTACCTTCTCTCGAAGCTATCTTGGGCATTCTTCGCGACAAGTACTCTAACGCGGGACCTCTCAACGAAGGAGATGTAATCATGGCTAGCCACATACTCTGAAGAAAATAGCTCAGTTCCACACATGCTGATAGAGAATTGAGCAAAGAAAGCACCTGGATGATATAGACACGTCATTAGCACCAAAAATAATAAATTTGTGCTTTGATTTGATCAAACGAAATTTCTTTGATCAACCTTGTCAAAAGATTCGCTGCCTTTTTCCTCCAAACCGGGAAGCAGTGCAGTAATAAACGCCTTCATTACTGGCCGTAGTCGCCCTCCTAACGGTAAGTAATATTTCTCAAACAGTTCCAGTAATGATGGCTTGTGTAATGTATAATATGAATAGAATCAGCATTATGACAAGGCGTAGCAAAAGACAATCGATAGCAAGCCTTTAAGTGCAAAAACGTGTTGGCGCATACTCGTATACGTGCATATACTCGTATACGTGCACATACATACTATCCGTGATAACATACCTTTACTTTCGTGGCCGCATGTTGAAGAAATGGGAATAATCCTTGCGAGTAAATCGGCAGATCATCCGCCAGTTGATCTGTAGATATGATGCTGAAAATGTTTTTGTAAACTTCAAGCGCTCTCTGATGTATACCGGGGGGAAGAGCGGGATTCATTGATTGTGCAAGACGCTTTGCGACTACTAGTTTCCGCGGTATTACGGGAATATCGGAATAGGTTTTGAACGTCTGCCAAGTGACCATCGAATTGAATAAGTTAGGTGGTATAGAAATTGAGCTGATTGATGACACATTGGCAACGTTGATTGTTGAGATCACTGGCCAAGTTAGTTACCTTTAACAGTTTATCGAGGAATGTAATGAAATCGGCCCATTCGTTTATTTCTTTTTCAAACGAGGATAGTGTCCTCTCTATCTGTGACTCGTATTTTCTGTACCGAGGGTCTTTTTTGTTCTTGTCCATTATTGTCTATAAGCTATAATCTAAAGTGATCTCTCTCTCTCTCAAAGTTTAGCGAGCAAGTCATTATTGCACTAATTGCCGTTGTGCGACTCTCAATAACTGTATATTGGTGACGTATCTTTTACAAATAATTGTAAAACATTCCATATCTGGCACGAGTATTAACGTTAATATGCAGGGATTAAAATACTCGACATTTTGACAGCATTCTTTTTAAATGGGTATGTAGTTTTGAAACGCGTAATTAGTGGAACCGCAACACGGGAGGGTTTATAACAGGGGAAAAGTTAATTATCTTTACATTAAATGTGCAAGTTAAGCAGCACGCCCCCAGCAAAAGTAATTATGTTTCCAATGAGGAGAAAGGTTATAAAAGCAAATTTAGCATGGTTTTGACAAAGGTCCGTGGACCTAAGCCTAAAGTTTAAATCTCTGCGCTATATATGCCAAGAAAAGCACGATTTTCACTTTTTCATTTCCTGAATTACCGATCTAGAGTCCCTTATTAAAGTTTAGATCTTACACAATGTAAGGGGGTTCGGGAAACCGTGCGTCATAGTAATACGCATTCAATCCGCCGAGAAGTTCGTTGACAATTTATGGACGTGGATTGGTTCGTTTAGTCGTGTTATCGTTTTTCCATCGGTATTTTCCGTTTACGATAATCTTTCCGCGGGCTGATCTAGCTAGCCCATCATCTCGGTATTAGTAATTTAGTGTTGTCAACGCTTCCGCAATGCTTTACCCGGGTTGATGTCATTGTGGAGTAGTGGTGATCGCCAAGGCCTTTTCCAGAACTTGGCGGACATCGATCAAAGTCTTGATATAATCTTGTTGATTAGCAAGATGATTGGTCCGATCCAGATGTTCAGTGTCTATTAGGTCATGTGGTGGGTAGCTATCTTTTATGTTTTTGAGAGAAACGTTATACTATAAGTCTTGTCGACAACAACAAGACCAAGTCCATCGTCATCGCTTTCACAGTGAAAGTAGTATTCGCAACAATGTGCAACATTTTAAACGACTGCAAAATCGCGTCAAATAAATAAATATTTTTGACCAAAAGGCGTTGTATATATATAGGCTGACAAGAATACTTATTGGTAAGGCGGTTTCGATTAATGCAACTAGAACACTCGAATTGCTTGGCATGTTGTCCATCTTAGTTTTGCAATAACCTTAATAATTGTATAAACTTTATTCATTGCTCAGTAATTTAGTTATTGTTATCAATTTAATTATTAAAATAACAGACTACCATCATGTGATATACAGCACAAGTATATGGCTGTGCATTCCCTAATAGTAATAAGCCTTTCAATAAAATTTATAATTATCAGGCTGACATAATTTATGATAAATGTGAGCTGGTACTGGTAGATCTCTGTGAATCATACAGTTTCCTCTTAGCATGACTAAAATTAATAGTGTGTTTTCTTTTTCATAGGTCAATGAGTCTCATCACTATACTTTTCTGCTTGTGATCACAATTATTAGACTGTCACATCATGTGCTTTACTAATGTACTACAAATACAGTCATTGTTAAAGGATCTTCTCATCTGCTGGGTGAATCACTCTCATGGATATTATGACCCTGTCATTCTTGTTAATAACGTCTCTTATACAACTGAATTCTGGCTTGCATGTTTAATCGTTAAACGTTTTTTCGACGCGCGATGCAATCAAACAGTGGGTCTCGAAACAAACCATTGAGACATTATAGTGAGGCATTTATTACGTGTGCGCTTTCCATTAGCCGTTGACGACCGTCTCACTATTGTCACAAAAAGCTCAATGTCAAAAAGTCTAGTGAATGTCTTGTTGAAATGGTTTGATTAAACATGTGGAAATAAAGTTGGTATTGAACGATACCTTGATGCAATTCGTTCGAGAACCACATGGTCGCAATCCACAAAATGCCAGTCTCATGAAAATGATAAACCTATTGTTACTTATTTAACCCATTATAACTACCATATACAATTTTTTTTTCTTTACTGCAGTAGGACATGTTGCATGTGAACCATGCTGTGATTTCGATTCAACCTCATTACTCGACAAGGTAACCAGACTAGGGTAAGGATGATTTCATCTGCTTTTGACTAAATTACGCTAGACACACTATGCACTGTTTCCCCCTTTATCACCTCTACTCGAAGCAAAAAAAATCCCATGTTATTCTCGATTTATCAAGTAATACCCAAGCAAAAAAAGTTTGTTGAACATGAATGGTCCGCCTGCATATAAAGATACAGAGAGAGAGATGACTGGAAAGGAAAAGGGGGGGAAAAAAGAGATCTCACTGCAGCTTGTATAACATATATCTTATTGGATGATTGGAGAAAAATAGATGAACACGAGTTTCCCTCGTTTTTGATTACAAAAAAAATTTTTTTTTTAGATTTGTTTGGGTTGGGCGCCAAATTAGTTTTAACTATGTATAGTCGAGGAGAGTGTGAACGATCGTGTGAGATGAGAGGGGATATGGAGTATTGGGTTCGAATGTTGCATACATATTTACTTGTGCATGTGCGAATCCATACCCCGAATTCCTTTAATCGAATATACATAGTAGTCAATGAACATATTAAACTTTAAATTTTCACGTTCGTTCATTAGAGTTAATTGAGACATTCATGAAATTGCACAGCATCATGTCGTCATCGACATTTGGAAGGGACAGGAGGGGAAGACTTTCAACAATAGCAATGTATTATTGTTGTTGTAGAAAATTGATCAATTAACTGCAAGTCAAAAAAAGAATCTGTTGTTGATATGTTGATGTTATTATTATGTTGATGTTTATATGTTGATATGTGATGTTGTTGATGTTGATATGTGATGTTGTTGATATGTTGATGTTATTTGATGTTGATATGTTGATGTTATTTGATGTTGATATGTTGATGTTATTTGATGTTGTTACGTTGTTTCTATTATTACCTGATCATCTTTTTACAGAATCAGCCTTTCGAACATTATCACGCGTTTTCCTTTCCGATTGACTTCATGTGTAAAGAATAAAGTTTAGGGTAAATTAAAATACAATTATGTCATTGCATCTTGTATTGACGGTTAATCGATTAAAACCTGCTAAACAGATATGAATCATTCCCGAAAATTTCATGACTCTCCCAATTCATCCCACACAACGACACTCGCGAGTATAAGCGATTTGCACTGCCCGATAATGTGTGTGCTGTACTGTACTGCACTGTTGCTGTGATGCGTTGTATTGCTGTATTATATCATACCGAATCATAATAATAAACCAACATCATCGTAACGTATCGTAACGTACCGTAACGTATCATATCGTACCGCAACGTACCATTTTGTATTATATCAAGTTATGTTAACACATTATTTTGTACGCTTTGCCATGCATATATGTAGTGTAGAGTTTAATTAAGAATGGTAAGGAATAACGAGAGATAAGCGATTGTTAATAATAAAGAGGGTAATGCCAATAAGCATATTCACAAGTTTATGACTCGTTCTCTTACTACATACTCGGATATGTTGTCATACGCCATCATTATTAAAATGTGCAAGTGTGTATTTGTGTGTGGCATATTAATATCTCATCTCGTTTCTTTTCCGTTCCGTTTCTTACCCCAATTTTTACATACATTTTGTATCACCATAGATAAAAAGGCGGTCATGATGTCATAAATCAAAATCACTTTCTCATGACTGCCAAGTTGTATTGTTGATGGATTGATCACGAGTTCAACATTTGATATATATCCTTTGTTTCGCAAACGCATGGGAGAAAGAAGGAACAAAGAAGACGAAAGAAGAAAGAACAAAGAAGACGAAAGAAGAAAGAAGAAAGAAGGAAGAAAGAAGAAGAAGAAAAAAGAGAAGATAAAGATAGAGGGGTGAAGAAGAGGAACAAGATGCTAAAAGAGGATAACAGTGGTGTAAATGTTAATGCGTTATGTCTATGCAACGTATACTGTATGCACCGACCAATTGCACACAGCCGACTCGCTAAATGTACTCGATTTTTTTCATTTGTCTAATTATATCATCACCCGGACATCTCATCAGGAAAGAGAAAAAAAAAAAAAAAAAAAAAAAAAGGACAGGACGTTGTTATTTGATTTGCTATTCTCTATTCGCTCATTTGTTCTTTTAACACGTGCTCGATGAATTCTAAATTCTGCGAGTAGATAGACCCTTAAAATATTTTTGTATATTTGTGCGACAGAAGAATAGATTCACAAAGCGGTATAGACCATAAACGAAGTGATAAATATATATGGAAGAATAAACAAGAGTAGAGTTTATGTAATACGTAGAAATAACATAACATTGTGATATGTGCATCGCCTATACGTTATACCGAGAATATATTCTATTTATATTAGTAATTTATAACGATCCGAGAATTGAATTCTGGAATAATTGTAAAAATTAATCCACAATAGCCACCTAATGCGGAACGGGCTTAGTCATTTCACTTGCTAACCATAAACAGTTCGTGCGCCATAATCATACCATAAAGAAACAAAGGGTATATTTAGTTTCATTTTCATTTCAATCTATTTTTGGGGCTCACCTTCCGAATGACCAAGATGCAATGAAACAATAGGTGGGGTGGGTGGCAATAGTGAGTTACAATAGTGGTAATAATGATAATAATCGTTGGTAATACTTGGTTTCAATCGTAAATAATAAAACTAGGTGCAACATTCAAAACGCTGTAAACGGCTGTCGTTGCGGCTGTCGCTGTTGCGCCCGATTACTCTTATTATTGTTATTGTTACTATAATTGCAGTTGTAGTATAATTGGTAAATGCAATTGTAAATGCAATTGTTGTAATTGTAGTTGTTGTAATTGTAAATGCAATTGTTGCAATTGTAGTTGCAGTTGTTGCAATTGTAGTTGCAGTTGTTGCAATTGCAGTTGTTGTAAATGCAATTGTAGTTGTTGTAATTGCAGTTGTTGTAATTGTAATTGTAGTTGTAGTCGCTGCAGTTCTACTGATTGTTATATCACATATTATCCAATCGTGAGTATCAGCATTTCCACTCTTCTTTTCCCATTTCCCTGTCTTCCTTCTTTGTTAACAACAACGAACAACGACCTTGTTCCGCAGATCGTATTATTCCCACTTTAGAAGAAAGTGCCATTCTTTCCCTCTTTGATCAATGTCTTCCAAGTTGGTTCCGAAATAAAGAACACAGAGAACAGTGGAAGGTTTAACATGCATTCGCAGTCACACTATTGTAACTGATTTTTTTTATCAGATCAAAGAAGTAACGCCGCAGACGTCATTTGGGACCTGCGTCGTTATAAGCGAACATAATGCAATCCCTATAAAAGTCTATTTATATCTTATTGTAAGAGTGTTACTATTACTATAGTAACTTTTTTTTTTTTTTCACTCTCCCTTTCCTTTACTATTACTATTACTTGCATAACCGCATTTACCCAACATTCGAATCCAATATTCGATGCATCAAAAAATCGTCAACAAGATTGCAAACCGGATTACACTGCGCCCGCACAATAGTAGAGACAAACACTTTTCTGTATGCATTGCAATAGTAAAAATACGCACTAATAATACATACTAATACAGTAACGGCATACGCAGATACATACAGTAATAATACAGTATACGCAGCAATAGCATATACACATCATTGATTGTACAAACCCCATTGTATAGACCATCTCCATATTAATACATTATACGTACAATACATTATACATAGACATTATACACCGACATTATACACCTACACTTGTGCATTGCATTAGCACACTATACTATACATTACTTGGCACACTATACGCATTATACGTATCGGCACACCATAGGCGCACTATAGACACACGATACTATACATTCTATACATTCTATACATTCTATACACTCTATACATTCTATACACTACACACTATACATTCCATGCATCGTACACTATACTGTACATTCCATACATTACACACTATAGCTGTACACTCCCTCTATACATTCCATACATTACACACTATAGCTGTACACTCCCTCTATACACTCCAACTCCAACTATATACATTCCAACTATATACACTCCCTCTATATACCCGCCTTTGCCACAGCCCGTTAGTGAGAATGTTACCAGAACAGCCAGGATAATAGATCCTTAACACAACAAAGTAATACAAATTAGGAACAAAGAATGAGATTCATGATCTCATATGACAGTCTATTCTTTATCACCCCCCCAAACATTCGTTTTATGGTTTGGTCCCGTATTTTGCTGGGATGGGATAACTAAACTGACGAAATTCTTAATACAATGTGTGATATCCCTTCCAGCCCTTGTTCTTATTATTATTATTATTAAATTTTTAAAATCATCCCCTGGCCTCCTTTCCCTGTCAATATACCCCGCACATAAACAAGAAAGTGTAAGCGATCTTATGTAAACAATACGTCAGTGGTTTTACTATGGACTGTTCAGGCATATTACACCAGCTAACTAATTATATCTCCATACTCTCACCTATTCTATTATGCTGTCCATATTAGTCATTAGGCTTTCACAATTTAACAAATCCTGTCTATACACATTTTAATACAATGTTCCTTCAATAGTATCACCCTACGTGGCACTATATCATGGCGGCGTATAATAATAATAAAGGTGGCAAAGTAAAAAAAGTAAATCAAGTACAACGACAATTTAATATGGCAATCGCTTAATAATATGGCAATCACTTTTATGGCACACAGAAATTTTACACCTTTGATTAATTAGAGATCATATATATCGTACTTTATGTTTATTGTGAAGAACTTGAGAAAAAAATAAAGCAAACTGCAAAACTCCGAGTTCAGCGTATATGAACTGGAAAGGAAAAGAAAAAAGTGAAATATAAAAGAAATTTTTAGTCTTGTTGTATAAATCTTAAAAAAAATAATTCTATATTTCGAAAAGAAAAAAGATCAAACTAAAAAGCAAAAAATAAAAGAAATCGATATTCGTAAAAAAACATAACTAACACGCGCGTACTACCAAAATAAAAGATCACGTCATGCAAAAAAGAAAAAATCTAATAAACTAGAACATAAACGAAAGAAAAAAGAAAAAAGGAAAAAGGATATAACCACACAATATATAACCGCACAATATAACCACACAATATAACCACACAATGAATGACAGATCAAATTATAATAGAAAAAGAAAAAGAAAAAAGGAAATAACAAACGTACAAAAATTCTATTATTATAATTTACGATTCAGATGCTATTACTGATGATGAGTCGGGCCCAATTTGATTTCTTTTTTATACAAGCGGCGAAAAGATACGAAGATGGGACTAACTATTAGTCTTGGTTCTTTTCTCTTTCGCTTTCGTTTTTCTCACATGTCGGGACTGCGTTCAAACATCAGATGATATCATCGGGAATAGTAAATTCATAAACATACATTTTCTATCGAACTCGTATCTTTCTCTCTCTCTCTCCCTTGGAAACGATGGTTGAGAGGATAAAAGAGGATGAGTACGAAAAGTAAGGGAATATATAGTATATATAGAAAGATGTATACAGTGTATATGAAATAAAAGTAAATTGTCCCGGTTTTTAAAAACTCACTAAAAAAATACTATAAAAAAATATATATCCGTGCTTTTTGTTTTTTCAACCATTGATCAGTAAGCCAGTACTGTTCAATATTAACCCTATATATATATATATAAATATATATATATAATAATGTTCATTATATGTGGATTTTACGATGTTCTGTGTATTTCATTCATTGTGATTTGGTTATAGCGAACTGAAGAATAAAAGAATAGAGGTATAAGATATCGGTCGTTATGAACAATAGTAAGAAAGGTTCTTCTCTCTCAAAGTAAAAAAGTTGAAGTAGAGAATATGTAAAATAAGGAAAAAAATATACAAAGACACGAATATCGTGAAGAAAAAAAAATGAAAACGTATATACTAAATAAGAAATATAAAAAAACAGCAATTGATTTAAAGCATATTGATATACCAAAGAAGGCACATATAGACAAGATATGAAAGTTGTAATAAGAATCTATATGTATGAAGTAAAAAAAAAATACCTTCGTTAAAACCGAAAATGACTGACACAAACCAATAAACTCGACCATCACCACCATATAGTTTTTGATATTAATTCCAAGGAATTCACCATTGTCCAAGTGATAACAGCCAAGTAAAAAAAATAATAACCGGATGTGTTTGTGTATGGTAGGTTGCACATGAGATGGGATATGTATGTGATGTTTGATGTTTGAGTGTGTAAAGAATGGTGTAAAACGGAAAGAAAAAGAAAAAAGAAAAAGGTGGTAGTTTAAAATCATTTCGCAACCCATTGTTCAATTTGATATCGTTGTATGAATGTTTCCATTTGGATATGTCTGCAAGAACGGGGTGAAATTGTTAAAGGCTCTTGCTGATTGATTCTTTTCTCTTCCGTTTGGTCGGTGAACGCGAATGTGCTGACTAAGGTTATCCGATCGAGAAAACCGTTTTGAACAGTGTGGGAAAGGACAGGAGAACGCTGTAAATATAAATAGAGGGACATTAGTTACCGAGTGGTGTATACAATGATAATCTAATCTAATCAAGTAATCTGTGTGTACCCAATCTTAACGGACCGCTCCTTTCCATTCCGCTCTTTTCCATCCCCATTCCGCTCCTACCCATTCCGCTGTTTTCCATCCCACTTCCCATTCCCCATTCCGGTCTTTTCCATTCACATTCACATTCCCTATTCCACTCCCCATTCCTTTCCCGATCTTTTCTACTTACGTCGCTCGAGGGTATGTATCGATCGCACATGTCGCTTGAGATGTTCAGATCTCTTGAACACTTTTCCGCATCCAGCATAATTGCATTCAAAGCATTTGGTACCTGGCTTGGCCGGCCTGGTCGACATTCTCCTGCCTCTGCTCCTCGCGGGGGTTTGCGGAGGTGTCACTACAAGAGGTCGGTAGTCCTGTTGCTGTTGCTGGTCTGTTGATACTACCTGTGTGTTTAATACGTCGGCAGAAACCTCTTGCTCGTCTTCCATCAGCGATGCGGGCAACATTGACGGATGCATGATGGGTGATTGATCGTGTGGCGAGGCAATTGGTGTCAGTGTGGTGGTGGTGATGCTCGCCGGATTACATACTAAATCAGCAGTGTCAGTTGTGCGTGGTATGTTATTATATAATTCCCAATTATTATAATCACAGTATTCGTGTTTTATCTTTGAATCGTCCATGAAGGCACAGTCACTCTCTGGCGAAGAGACGGCAGCACACTGATGGTAGTCATATTCATTGATGACCGGTTCGTTGCTACCGGCGAGAAGCTCGGTGAAAGTCTTTGCAGATAGGAATTCAGAAGCAAAGCAGTCGACCTCTTTTGGTTGAGGGTAGTATGTGATGCATGAGACTGGTGCTGAGGAGAGTGAACAGTAATCTGGGTGGTCGAGTCCAAAGGTGCCAAGATCGCTAAAGTCTTGGGTGTCGTATACGGGAGTGAAAGGCATTGTAGTCATTATGAAGGTGAGTTTTGTTGCTAGTTGTTGGTTTGGAAAATAAAGCCGTGTAATCGAGTTGCTGTTTTTGTCGTGAATTCTGGGTTCAGAGATTTAGTAACGTTTCGTTTTTTTAAGGTATCGTATCAGGTTTTTGGTTTTTTCCTTAGGAAAAGAAAAACACGTGAATGGTTGTCTTGTTAATCGTGTTTTTCTTTGGTTATTGCGCAGAGGTTTCGTTCGCTAATTATTGAAAGAGTCAGTTGAGGGAACTTGGAATCCTTAGTGTGGCTCTTATTTGACTTGAAGTCGGTTGTTGAGGTTGAGATTGAGATTGAGATTGAGATTGAGATTGAAAGAGAGGAGGAGAAAAAAAATTTTCTTCTTCTGCTTTCTGTTCTGATTGATTATTAGTTAGAGTCGTTTCAAGAGTGTGAAAGTTATGAAAAGCGATAATGGTAAAAAGAAAGGGGAGGGAAAAAGAAATCGAGAGTTTTCTTTTTTATACGATATAGTCAATAAGTCATAAAACGGTTGGGTATAAGAAATAGAAAGAAGTTATTTAGATAAAAATCGTTAAGACGGCGTTATAAGCGTAGTTAATTAAATCGAAAAGCGTAGAAAGAAATGTTTCAATAAAAAAGTTTGGGGCGAAAGTCTGAGACAAAAAGTTTAATTTTTTTTGATTTTTTTTTTCGAGATTATTCAATAAAAGGCATACGACAAACCGAGAGGAGCTGGGTATGCAAAATCGTCACAGATTTTGGGCAGGTAGATAACTTCGTTACTTCCTACTATATTTATACTGAAAGGAAGAACGCGGGTCAGAATAGGTTTGTAATATAATAGTCGGATGCTATTGTATTTTTTTATATTAACTGTTTAGTTTTTTTATATGGCTTAATTATTGGATTATATACTTGCTATTGTATGTTGTATTATTGTATATTTACTATTATTATAATTGTTATTATAAATTAATTCTGTATTACATGCGTATTTAGTTGACGTCACCACGTAGCACCACTCGTTAATTAAAATGCAATCACAGAAAGGACAATCATTCGTATTTAATACTAATAATAACATCACCAATTACATTTATACATAGCTTTGATTGTACCAATGTCTTTGCTTTGTCTTATGCTCATGTATCTTCCATCTCAATATTCTAATATGAGCACATGACTACATAATATATACCGCGTCAAATATATTTGATTACACGAGAGTGAATAAAAGAGAGAGTGAATAAGTAAAAGAGTGAGTAAAAGAGAGAGTGAGTAAAAGAGAGAGTAAAAGAGTGTAAAAGTAATAGGACAGCGTCAGACAGTGTCAACTATGTATTGTGCCTATGCAATGGAAATGAGAAACGGTTCACCGTCATCAATTCGGGTCATTTGACATTATGAAAACAGACCAGACCCAAAGCCCCAAACACTGTCGTATGAAACACATCCGAACATTAATTATCTTTTGATCAAACATAGAGCACAATAACAAGAATACATAGAGCATGCCCAATAAAACTCTCATTATAAAACCCATTTCTATGCTATTGTTCGCTACATTCATCACCAAACATAGGGACGAACGAACGGGACAATATCAGGCAAACAGTTTTGACGTGTTCCCTACCATTTCCTACCATTTCCTACCATTTGCATTACACACTCTTTCTCCTCGTTCTCCCCTCACATTCGCTTGCATCTGCCCGACATTATTACTGTCCCATTGCTATAATGGACTTTCCATTACCCCAAAAATGTAATATCTGATTATGAAACAAATAGTATATAATCAAATCCATATAAATAGCATCCCAACCAATAGGCTGCTATCGACAACAAATATATAACAATCATACATTAATAATAATAAAACAGCAGACATATATAACAATAGCACTCGATTGTAATGAGGCATTGACCCGCATAATTGGTATCCGTCTTGGCTGTATGCTATATATCTTTTGGTTAACAACAGAAACAAGATAATCACTAATATACAGTCTCTTTTTATTTATCCGTGTGACTAGCGACATGTGGCATTGGGCGGGTAAACTAAAAGTTAAACAGTGAACCAGCCACATAACAAATACGATCTATTATCATCTTTGGTACATTTACTGTAAATGCATGTGTGCTGTCCGCATTAATGGAAAACCAACCAGACGCACAAAGACAATAGCAAAAGGACATCTCCATTGAAAAGAAGAAAAAAAAAGGGGGGAGGGACCCAAAGGTGAAAAGCGGCGGATCAATGGTCTGCGCATCGGACATTCCACTAATAAAGATATTACATAAACTATGTTGCTTCATATTCCCCATATGAAATACAGACTGTTACTTTAACTTTTATGTGTGGCGCTAAAACATCTCTTTGTTTTCACGTAAAATGGTATTCAAAACATTCAGATAACTCTCAACTCACATGCAAAAAAGAAATCTTTCCCTCTTCGCTCAAACTAGTTAAAAAAAAGTTTCATATCCGGATTACCTAACAGATCCAAAAATGTATGTTTCTGTCTTTGCAAAAAGTCACACAGTCATCTGTAAAAGACGACGTATATTATCAACTTTTAGCTGGCTGCGTAACATTGATACAATGAAAAATCGCTCACAATTGAAAAGTTCGGAATGAGAGTTCAGTGATATTTGCTTAATTTGGATAAATGGTCAAGTGATGAGGGATGATGAGTGACCGTCTTGTTGATGCATGTGTATTTTAATATTCATTATACTGTATACTTTACCCACCCCATTTACCCACCCCAACCTCCCTTTCCCATTTTATTGCTCGTTGGCTTGTATTAATTTTAGACCCTTGACACGAAGCAATAGCTTATTTGAGGAAATGAATGTGGTGGGGAAAAAAAAAAAAAAGAGCAAGATATTTTCAGACTGTTTTGGAGCATTTACAACCGAATATATCGGGAAATAAACTTTACACTTTGACGGCTCTTAAGGACTTAATAGGTAATACATCAGGTTTATTATGATTATAGGCAATTGGTTGGTGTAATATATTAATACGCAAAATACTAATATAACTAAAACACAAATGAATATAATATACTGTACATACATAACACTTTTTTTTTTCTTATCCCGAATACCAAATTAATTATTGTTTGTGTGATTGATTCTCTTGGAAAAAAGTTCCTACATGTTCCACCATTACTATATTGTGAGACTCGTCTCATTCCTCATTTGGGATATTCTTTATTAGATTATTGGCGTCAATAATGAACGTACTCGAAAGATCGTTGGTCGAGACAATATAGAAGCATGAAAAGAAACATTACATCTTCATGTGTGTGCATTTAACATGACTGTCTATATGCATGTGATAGTCTGGGCGTTGGATGTAGGTCGATTTGCACGTTTTTTATGTATCATAAACACTGGATTTTTTAGATAATGTTCATTATATATTCGTCGTTTATTATCGGGTACTCTAATTTTTCTTTCCATCTTTCCTCTTCACTCCTCCCCGGTGGGATTAGTCCGTCATTGACTTGCCATATCGACATATGATCTTGTTAGTTTTCCCGAATTACTTTTCCTCACAAAGTAAACATTGATGGTAGTCATTTTGTTGTCTTTGGGTATTAAAAGGCGAATGACATTCATGTACAACAATATGAGATGAAAAGTGGTTTTCCACTTACAACACTCTGATATTGCACCATCTGCAAGATGATCGTTTATACGAATGAACAACACATGCAATTCATCATAGTATTACTTTGTATATTTCGTAGATAAAAAGTAACATGCTTTGCCGTATATACATTTGATATATTGGTCTATAGTTTTGATACTAAAGATGGACATATTAAATTCGCCAATGATGTAAAAATAGACTTTGCGTTTTGCAGATCGTTCATCCAAATGGATACTCAAACAAGAAAGAAAACGTAATAAATATTCTGTCGGGTACGTTAGGCGCCTGAATTCGAACACTGTATTAGTATTATGCAGTGGGCCTATTCGCACTGTGTTCTATTAGCAGCGTACTTTATTGCTATGACTTACCTTATTTGAACAATAAGAAATTACATATACATTCCACGTCTTACGTGTTACAAGAGTATGTATGTTGAGTCATATTCAACCTAGTGAGAAACTTCTTTATTAAAGTGCACGAGATCATCCGGATGCCCGTCACCCCCCGTATATTACATCACACTTCCATATTAGATTCTTTAATTTGCAATTTGATGACGTACAAATTGGAATACAATAACTAAAAGACTATAAATAATAATCTTTGTCTTAAACAGGCAACTTCTGGGAATACGAAGGAACAGCAGCAAGGCGGTTAGAAGAGTCGGTAGAATCGTAGGTAGAAGCCCAGTGTTTATGATGTAAAAGTGACAGCTGACAATTACGAAATCATGGGTAAAGAAAAGCCCTTGTTTGTGTATGTCTATGATGTAAATATCTGACAGCTGATAATGATAATAGAATCATGGGTAGAAGGTGATGTATGAAAAAAGAAATATATATCTGACAGCTGATAATGATGAGTTTTCGGTTCTTTATTGTTCATAGTGTGATGAGCCTTTGGGTTATCGAAACAAGCTTTGAATGAAATCTATATCATACGCAAATCAAATGATCAAACAAACAACACTTGTAAAAGAGCATTGCTCATTGCGCATTGCTGATTGCTCATTGGGCGTTGCATTATCATTAAAAATTTTCAAGGTCCAGAGTAATTTTCTTGGGAGTTGGCTAAAAATAAGTAATATGCATCGATCTGTTTGAATATTATTGTAACAAATTGGGTAATGAATCGGGAAGACGAATAGCCGAATTTATACAAAGGTTTAGAGTAAACCGGTCAAACAAGTGTTACGAACAGTAATAGGCCAATAAATCTTACTTGTTTAAAACTCAT